CCCTGCTTCAAGTCTTGTCGAAATGTTTTATCTTTTAGAGACTAGGCTTGAAGTATTACTTACACGATATTTATATACCATGTATTTTAGCTTATTGGTATACACTCCAACGTAATTGAAACATATAAATGATATTTAGCTATCATATTGCCAACCTCCAATTATCCTTAGTCAATTAGATGTAAGCAAACAATCTAATTGTAACATGAAAGGATTATTTAGCCGTTTTTTTAAAGAAATAAATAAATAAATAAATAAATAAATACATTTATTTAATCATTCAATTCCAACTGTCATACTTCCTTAGGATATATATATATATATATATATATATATATATATATATATATATAGAGAGAGAGAGAGAGAGAGAGAGAGAGAGAGAGAGAGGAAGGTATGTAATTGATAGTTGTCTTAACACACAAAAAAAAATTGATTTTGAAGTGTGAAGGGATGTTTTTTTTCTTTTTTTTTTATAAAAAACTTCTCCGCTTTAAAGATCACCAACTTGAGGCTAAACTAGAATACCGTGTAACGCTCCTGCCTTGAAATAAACTCAAGGTGTTACAAGATCTTGAATGCTTCACCAACATAAAGCTTTAATGGAATATCGTGTAACGTTCCCGCCTTGAAAATAAACTCAAGGTGTTACAAGATCCCGAATGCTCAACCATGAAGTTTTACTAGAATACCGTGTAACACTCCCGCTTTGAAAATAAATTCAAGGTGTTACTAGGTCCCGAATGCTTGATCAACTTGAAGCTTTAATAGGATACCGTGTAACGCTCCCGCCTTGAAAATAAACTCAAGGTGTTACAAGGTCCTGAATGTTTGACCATGAAGCTTTACTAGAATAACGTGTAACGCTCTTGCTTAGAAAATAAATTCAAGGTGTTACAAGGTCCCGAATGCTTAACCAACTTGAAGCTTTTAGTGGAATACCGTGTAACGCTCCCGCCTTGAAGATAACCTCAAGGTGTTACAAGGTCCCGAATGATTAACCATGAAGCTTTACTAAAATACCGTAACGCTCCCATCTTGAAAATAAATTCAAGGTGTTACAAGGTCTCGAATGTTTGACCAACTTGAAGCTTTAATAGGATACCATGTAACGCTCCCGCCTTAAAGATAACCTCAAGGTGTTACAAGGTCCTGAATATTTGACCGTGAAGCTTTACTAGAATACCGTGTAACGCTCCCACCTTGAAGATAAACTCAAGGTGTTACAAGGTCCTGAATGCTTAAATTATTCGCCCCTTCTTAATAACCCTCTTTTTCGAGTTTTATCTTCTTTCGTGCATTATTGTAAATAAACATTAACACTTTTATTTACTTCTTATTTTCTGCAGTTTGAACAATGGTTTTCTTCAAGGATTATACTTGTCCATCTTCTAAACTCGGATATCTCATTGTTGGATCAGAGGGTAGTACGATGGCGACTAAGTTTTTGGTCTAGGAATCTTTTGTTGGTCGTTATGTTGATCCATGGCCACAATTGAGAAACACACGTTATATGAAAAGTTGGACATCTGAATACAATCATAAATCTAATAAAACCTCTAAAGTATGGTATCTTGAGAAACCAATTCCTCATCGTATAAACGTTGCGAAGACCTTTTCAAATTTAGGTCGCCGCATGATTCAAGAAGAACTACGTTGGGGAGACAATATTGTGGTTGAAGGTGAATATCGTTGCATTCCGGGGTACTGGGAATGGACAGAAGATGTCTTAAGCAAAAATGGGCAAACTCTAAACAGTGCTTGTATTCGTGATGCTGTATTTGCTTCTCTTTTTACCTATGATCGGAACTCCAATATTATACAAGCCTTTTGTGAGGCTTGGTGCCCTCAAACAAATACATTACTTACATCTGCTGGGGAAACATCCATATCTCTTTGGGACTTGCATATTCTTGGTGGTTTTCCAATTAACGGATACCCTTACGAAGAAGTGATACAAAACTCCACTGAACTTACAGGATTTAATGATAAGAGGGAAAGATTTCTTCCTCAAACTTGTGAATATATGTTTGCTGCCTTTCATCACCTTAAAGAGGAAAATCATGGTAATATGGGAATCTCTTTCAATGAATGGATACGATTTTGGTGCAAGAAAGATCTCAAATATGAGCTAGCTCCCCCAAGAAAAGAGAAGAAATCTCGGCGTCTGTCGTCTACTCATAATCCTACAGGCGAAATACCTACTGAGATAAATACATGGTCAATTACTCAAGAGACGGTATTTTCTAAGCTTGGAGCGAAACATCAGAAATATGAGACTTATCTGACAGAATTTTTGTCATGTTGGCTATGTGCCTTTGTACTTCCGTCTGAAGAAGGAAATTTCATTCGACCTGAGACTTTCAAGATAGCGAGTTTAATGGCGAGCGGTAAAAGGGTTAGCCTTGCGATTCCAATTTTAACAAGCATATATCATGGCTTAAATAAAATTTCAAATTCTTCATAGTTGGACCATGTAAGAGTTTGTTTTCCCATTCACTATGTCTATGGTTGGCTTGCTTATTATCTCAAAACACACTATCTGCTTACTAGTGGACCTTCTCTACCACGAATGGTGGTATATTCTGGAGAAGGTGCTGCAAAGTATTTTGACAAAGATGAAGCAAGAAAGCGTGTTCATCGGGGGGAGAACATTGTATAGAATGCAACCATGCTTAGTAGACCTCACCCAACTTATTATATTGATGATGAAAAATCATCAGAGTTGGATCAAGCATATTTTATGAGCATTCGTTTTAATTATCTTCCATTGAGGAGGGGAGGTTCCTTTGTCATTGAGCCATATAGTCCGCACCGATTTAGTCGCCAATTTGGTTTCCATCGAGATAATCCTGGCTATTTAGAAAATGATATTCGTGTTGAGTCACTTGATGAAGGCCTTAGATACTGGCGCATTTGTGTATCACGTGTGACTATGTCTAAAGCGACATTTCCTCCTGCGGTAACTTCCGCAAAGAAGCTTTATACCACCCAATATTCATCTTGGTGGGAGAGGTCCTATGGAACGTTTCTTGAGGATAATTTGGATGTTATGGTGGAAAAAGCTGGGTCAGAATTTGTTACCCATCTAGAAGACAAAAGTCAAGATATCGAGAAAACATTTTCAAAAGTCAAGACACCACTTTCTCCCCAACATCAAAGTAAGAAGCTTAATTTTTCTAAGGCATCTAAGAAAGAACTGGTTCATACTCCTACCGATAAAGAGAAATCCCCCCTATTTCTCTTCTCTAGTAAATAGCCCCTTCAAGAAAAAAGCAAAACTAGCAAGGATCGATGTTGGAAGAGGCAAAGAATTGAACTATCTGGGGCTGAAATTGTAGAAGTCCGAAGTGTTGATAATCCTTCTAGATCATTGACAATTCAGAGTAACAAGGTATGTATATATATATATATATATATTTATTTATTTATTTTTAAAAATAAATAAATAAATAAAATGAAATGACCTTGCTAACCTGCCCCTTTCGTTTGTAGGTTGATGCTGATGGACATTTACAAGGATCACCGCGTGAGAGGCCACAAGTTAGCGAAGAGTCTACCGCAATATTGAGACCTAAGGCAAAACCAATTTCAAATATCGAGAAAGATCAAGAGTCACCGTCTACTTCTCGTGGCCAAACTTTAAAAAGGTTGGCTCCTAACTCAAATGAGCTTTCCCGAGTTTTTCCCAAGATAAATGGTGCTATGTCTGTCTTCGAAGGAAGAGGTGTGGTGTTTAATCACAAAAGGAAGTACATCTTGGGTCTTTGGGAAGAGATCTGTAGAAAACTTTCCAGAACTTCTCTAAACAATATTTCATCTTACAAAGATGATATTTATGAGATTTTCAAGGAGATGAGTGAGATGAATATATTAGATCTTTCACCGTTAAAAAGCTTGGTAGATTCTCTTTTTGATCATGCTACTTCTTATGATCAAGAACACTCTAATTTTGTTGACAAGGCGCCTGAAGATAGAAAGATGGAACTACTTTCCAATGCCAAAGAGCGTCTCGAATTATTCAAAGTAGAGGAATGTGAGAAGGCAAAACATGTCTCTTCTAACAAGAAATCGCTAAAGAAGGTTAAGCGGAAGCTAGCAACTTTACAAGGAGAGCGAAAGGGTCTTGAAGCTGTTTTAGACGCTGCTAAGAAGAACGTCGAGGAGATTCAAGCCAAGATTTTAGCTACGGAAGATGAGATATCCTCGTATAAGAATATGAGTTTATTAACGCTTGAAGATTCAATTCGCATGGAACAGAAAAGAGAGTGCTTGGAGGCAAGTCGACAAGATTTGACCAATTACAAGTTACGCTTAGATTAGACTCTTTTTATTTTATTTTATTTTATTTTACTTTTTGACTTTCGATTGGTCGTTAATTCTTGATTGCAAGCTTTTATTAATTCAAAGTCATGTCGCATTTTCCATGTCAATACGAACGAATATAGCGCAAGTTCCACATTTTTATTTAGTTTGCACATTTAAACTTGACTTATGAATTTTGTGGAATCCGATGCTTCAACTCGTAACAAGTTTTAGAACCTTTAACTTGTAAATTCTAAAAAATATAAAGGTCTGATCCGTCCATAAACCCATCAATACTTCGTACATGTCTAAGATTTGATGAGAAAAAAGATAATATACATATCGCTTTGACCTTTCTTTGAATTTAAGTGGGAACATTTTTTATTTTTGACACTCATGCAACTGAACTTAGAATATGGTTCTAAGCGTCTACGTACCTCAATAAAAAGGATAAAGTCACAACGTAGTTCTGGGTATTTGAGTGATTTTTTTTTGGTTGTGCCGTACATAGTTTATACTCTTGCGGGCTAGGAGTGACATGCAGTTTAGGCTCGTACCTTAAGGAGCATCATCTTCCTTCAAGGATAGTATCTCTTTAGAAATTTGGCATTAATAGGACCGATCCTTAAGCCATCAGCATCAACAAGCTTGTAAGCACCATTTGAATATGCTTCTTGTACAACATATGGTCCATCCTACTTTGAGGTAAATTTGCCCCCGGACTTGTGCGAAGTAATGATGGGTCTTCTTACCGCGAGAACTTGATCTCCAACTTGAAAGCACCTCAAGCGAACCTTCTTATTAAAAGCACGAGATAGACGAGCTTGATAACATTCAAGGTTTTGTTGGGCTTGTAATCTCTTTTCATCAAATGCTTCTAACTCAGCAAGACGCAATCTAGCATTTTCTTCCTCAGTGAGCCCTTCTTGAATAGCAAGTCTTAAGGAGGGTATTTGACGCTCGAGTGGCAGGATTGCTTCAACTCCAAAAGCAAGTGAATATGGTGTTGCTTGAGTTGGTGTGCGATATGTTGTCCTATATGCCCACAAAGCTTCTTCAATTCTTTCATGCCAATCCCGTTTGGATTTGGAGACAACTTTCTTGAGCAGGTTGCATAGAGTCTTATTGAATGCTTCAGCAAGACCATTAGCGACAGCATGGTACATAGAAGATTCACGCTGCTTAAAGTCAAAAAGATCACAAATCTTGTTCATTAACTTGTTATCGAATGGTTTGCCATTGTCTGTTATTATATAGTGAGGAATACCAAAGCGATGGATAATATTTACTCGGATAAAATTTGCAACATTCTCTTTCTTCACCTCTTTAAGAGCGACAGCTTCAGCCCATTTTGAAAAGTAATCAGTTGCAGCCAAGATGTACAAGTGTCCACCAGAAGACTTTGGTTATGGTCCTACAATATCCAGTCCCCAAGCGTCAATTTGCCAAGATGCGATGGTTGGGTGCAATACTTCGGGTGGCTGATGAATGAAATTCACATGAAATTGACAAGCATCACATTTTCTAGCATAATATAAGCAATCTTTCACCATGGTTGGCCAGTAATACCCCATCCTCTTTATGTGAAAATGAAGTTTTGGTCCAGATTGATGTGATCCACATACTCCTGCATGTGCTTCTTGCAGAGCTTGAATCGCTTCTTCCTCTCCCAAACATCGTAATAACATACCCTCAAATGATCTTCTATATAATGTATCCTTGTAGTAAAGGAAACGAGGTGCACGACGACGTATGTCAGTTCTTCTTCTTGGATTTTCTGGAAGTATCCCATAACATAGGTAGTCAATGATGGGTTGTCTCCAATCATCCTTCGCAGCTTCAACAATGGCGACGATATGATCAAGCTTATTTTCAATATATTCTTCCTCATTTGACGGTGGTACTATCCATTTTTGACAGACAGTTACTTGCGTTTGATCAGGAAGGGTTAGCGTTGAAGCTAGAGTAGCCAATGCATTAGCTTTCTTATTATCTGTTCGACGCACATGTTGAAGGGTTACATCCCCAAGCCATCTTATCAACTTTTGAGCATAATCATGATAAGGTCGCAATTCAGGCTTTTTTCCCTCATAACTTCCTAAGAGTTGATTAATCACCAATTGAGAGTCACCAAAGACCTGTAAATGTAATTGTTTCATGTCAACGGCCATTTCAAGTCCAAGTATCAGTGCTTGATATTCAGCGACATTATTGGAGCAACATTGTTTTAGAGTAAAAGAGAATGGTAGAATCTCTTCTTGTGAAGTGATGAACACCACACCAGCACCAGCTCCGCCGCGATGTGCAGCCCCGTCAAAGTACATTTTCCAAGGAGGTTGAACTTCAATTAACATCGCATCTTCATCAGGAAACTCATCAGTTAATTCCCAATCATTTGGTATAGGATGGTCTGCTAAGAAATCCGCTAGTGCTTGTCCCTTCACGGATTTTTGAGGGATGTACACAATCACAAATTGTTGGAATTGGAGGTACCATCTTGCTAGTCGGTCACTAAGGACAGGTTTTGACATAAAAAACTTGATGGGATTTGCTCTAGAAATAAGGCGGACAACATGAGCTTGAAAATAATGCTTCATCTTTTGAATTGAGAAGACCAGTGCCAAGCATAACTTTTCAATTGGCGAATAATTTAGCTCATTTGGCGTCATCGTTCTACTTAAGTAATAAAGAGCATTTTCTTTGCCCTCACTATTCTCTTGAGCTAACAGGGCTCCTACAGACCTTTCTTGTGCTGCAATGTAGAGTATCAATGGTTTTCCAGGTATAGGGGCTGCCAAAATCGGAGGTTTCACTAGATACGATTTGATACTTTTAAAGGCTTCGCTACATGTTTGGTCCCAATTAAAAGGAGCACCTTTCTTCATGAGATGACTGAATGGTTGACATCTCCCCACTAGATTTGAGATGAACCTTCTCAAGTAGGCTAACTTTCCTTGGAGACTTTTTAACTCATGAATATCTCGAGGTTCAGGCATCTTTGATATTGCATCGACTTTGGCTTGATCAATTTCAATTCCTCGATGTCTCACAATAAAGCAAGGAACTTGCCGAAAGTAACTCCGAAGGCACATTTCAATGGATTCATCCTTAGTTGATATCTTCGGAGTAACTCAAACACCATCTTTAAGTCTTTCAAATGATCACCCCTCTTCCTCGACTTCACTACCAAATCATCAACATAACATTCAACATTTTTATGGAGCAAGTCGTCAAAGATATTTTGCATAGCCCTTTGATATGTGGCGCCAGCATTCTTTAAACCAAATGGCATCACTTTGTAGCAATAAATACCCTTTGGCGTGCGAAATGCAGTGAGTTTTTCATCTTTTGGTGACATGCGGATTTGATTATATCCAGAAGAACCATCCATGAATGACATTGCCTCATAACTAGTGGTGGCATCAATCATCAACTCTGGATTGGGAAGAGGAAACTCATCTTTAGGGCATGCATTATTGAGATCTCTAAAGTCAACGCAAACTCGAATTTGACCATTTTTCTTCCTCACAGGAACAATACTTGAAATCCATGTAGGATATTTGACCTCACAAATAAAGCCTGTCTCAATGAGTTTGTTAACTTCATTTTCTATCAACGGAATCAAGTCTGGTCTAAAACGTCTTTGAGCTTGTTTAATTGGACGAGAACCATTTTTGACTGCCAATTGATGGACCGCTACTCTAGGATTCAATCTAGGCATTTATTTGTAACTCCAAGCGAATACATCTCTATACTCCTTGAGTATATTCATGTAAGCAACTTCTTCATCAATTTCTAGAAACGCACTCAAGTAAGTTGGCTTCGGATCTTCATCAGTGCCAAGGTTAACTTCCTTCAAAGGATCTATTGTGATCTTTACTCCTTCTTCAAGTTCTTGTGGAGCATCTTTAGCATCTTCCTCTTCCACAGGATCATTGTCATTGACTGATATATGACAACACGAGACAATATCTTCTACCTCTTCCTCAATCTTCTTTTGAGGCAAAGAATCATACTCATTTTGGATTGTAACATGATTTGAGGAACCTACACTTTCTTCATCTTCGTCGCGCTCTTTGGTGTAAACCATAGTATGAACCTTTGCCTTGAGTTCCTCTTTACAGGAAACCATAAGTTCCACTCATCGCCTCATCCTAGAAGGAATCAAACTTCTGAAATCCTTTCGAATCAAATGTGAAGTAGGCTTTGTAACTTTCAAATAACTTCTCAGGTTCTTGTTATTCTTCTTCAAAGGACCTAACCTCTCAAACACAGAAATTCTTGTTGTTGCTTCACCAAGTCGATCAAAGACAGAAGGCCTTTTATTGGGAGCAGTGACGTCATCTTCAAAAGTTATATGATTATTACTGGCCCTTCTTATGGAAATGTGAATTGGCGGCGGTTGGCTATAACCTAGGCCTTCACGCGCTTTCCTAGTTGTATCTTCTGATGGGAGTTTCCCTAGCATTGATGGCTCACTAGGGTTGTATCCTGCCTTCACAAATAACTTGTAGGCATTGGGATCAAAACCTTCTCTTGTGCGCTTTGTAGGGAGAGCCATACCTAGCACTTGATCTTGAGCGACTAACTTCTCTGGCAACTTTGAAGACAAGTTTATTGCATCAATCCGTCTAATAGGAAGAGCTAGCCCTCTTAATGCATTTTATTCAAGGTTAGATGGTTGATCTTGTTCTTTCTTCGCTTTTGGAACATAGCAAAGCCTAGAAGTCTGATTTTTCTTTGAAGACAGGATCTTCCCTTCATTAAAAATGGGACAAGAGTTTTTAGTGTCAATTTTCACCTTTTCGATAGCTGCATCAATTTTTTTGCTTATGATATTATCAATCTTGATTGATTTTACGTCATTGGATTTGACCCCTTTAACAACATAACTTTTCATATAGAATTTCGCATCCGCAAAGTGTGTCTCCACTTCGGTGAAAGGATTATCGTCTGCAACTATCTTTCTTTCAATTCCACCTTCAAGATATTTCAGACATTGATAGTAAGAAGATGAGACAATTCTATTCTCATGTACCCAAGGCCTACCAAGTAATATATTGTATGATGTCTTTGCGTCAATCACATGCATCCATGCGTTTGATCGTAAATCTCCCATGTGGATCTCTAATTTAATAGAGCCTTTGGACCTCTGCCCGCCTTGATTAAATCCTTGTATCAACAGACGACTTTCACTAAGTTCCCCAGTCGTGATGCCACGTTCCTTCAATGTGTGGATAGGCAAAATGTTGACTCCAGATCCTTCATCTATTAAGATTCTATTTATTTTCTTCTCTAGCACATGGCCCACCATATACAAAGGACGATTGTGTAGTGCTTCACCAAATAGAAGATCGTTATTTGTAAATGTGATTTTAGTATCACAGACATGTGCTTCTTGGGAAGAAAGTTCAATAGATTTTTCAGAAGATGAAAGAGACATCATTTCTGAGATTTCCCTTGTTTCTTTTTCTTCTTCCCCAAGAGACGCTTTTGGTGAGGACTCACTCGTTATTTCTTCTTTTACAGTAGGAGGCACCTTCACTGTTTGTTCTTTATCCACATTGAAACATGATGCCTCGACATTGCCTTGAGTAGACTTTGTGTCGAATGAGCTTGGCAAGAATTCCTCTAGAGTCACAAGACGTCGAGGTTTTTAGTAGTAATGCACTACAACCTTTGCCCTTTTGGGGCGCTTGATTGATTTTTGCTTCTTTGATTTCTTCACCATTTTTTCTCTAACCGGTTGTTCGGATAATTCTTTTCGTAAGCTTGACTTGTTGCGTCTTCGCCTAGTTACAATAATCCAACCCTCATCATCATCTATGTCAACGTTCTGGTCTACAGGCTCTTCTTCATGCTTTTCAGAGATATATATTTGGACCGGATCCAGTAACCCAAACGTGATAGAGGTATGGTTAGAACTAGCCTTCTCATCATTAAGGATAATTTTATTTTCGTTAGCCAATCGCATCACTCTATCCTTAAAGACAAAACATTTTTCAAGAGGATGACTCACAAGTCTATGATACTTGCAATAATTTGGGTCATCAATTTTTCCAGCTTCATCGGGTCGCTTCATCTCTGGCAAGTCAATGAGCTTTAACTCAAGCAATTCATCAAAAATTTCAGAAACGTCAGAATCCAAGAAGGGATACTTTTTTCCTTGCATCTCCCTTAGCGTCGACTTTTGATTTGAACGTGCTTGGAAAGTCGTTCTCACATTTTGTTTTACACCCTCATTCATGGTGAACTTTGCGGGTGACACATTTACACTCATAGATTCTTTGTTGTCATTTTTGGGCAGAAACTTGCTCCATCTCTTGGGTTCCTGTTTGTCCCTTCCTTTGTGATGGTCATGGACAATAGTCATATCTTTTTTGGCAGATGTCATGCTCAACTCCATATCGTGAGCGCGAGTAGCTAAATCCTCGAAAGATTTTGGTTTTATTCCTTGCAAGATGTAAAGAAGCTCCCAGTGCATTCCTTGAATACACATTTCGATTGCAGAAGCTTCACTAAGCCTGTCCTTGCAATTTAGGCTCGCGTTCCTCCACCGATTTATGAAATATATGACTGGTTCATCCTTCCTTTGGCGAGTATTCGTGAGTTCTACCATGCTCACCGTGCGCCTTGTGCTATAGAAGCGATTGAGAAACTCATGTTCTAGTTGCTCCCAACTATCAATAGAGTTAGGTTCAAGATCTGTGTACCAATCAAAGGCATTTCCTTTTAGAGAGCGGACAAACTGTTTGACAAGATAGTCTCCATATGTTCCAGCATTATTACATGTCTCCACAAAGTGAACGACATGTTGTTTCAGATTTCCTTTTCCCTCAATTTGTTGAAATTTGGGAGGTTGATAACCAATAGGCATTTTAAAGTTATCAATCCTAGCAATGTATGGCTTAGCATACATATGAGAAGACTTGGTGGAGACTTCATACTTATCTTTGATAGTTCCTTCAATAAATTCCTTCAAGCGATTGAGTGGGATCATTCCTTCAGAAGAAACTGGCATCTCTTTAACAAACGGGGCTTTCTTAGCAGGATCTTTGGTTTCTTGAACTTCAATGCCCTTTCCAGGTGCATGGCTCGCATCTCCATCTAAAAGTCCTTCTATCCTGTCCATCAACTTGTTAATTCGAGATTCTTGGTGTTGTACATGCTTCATCAATCCTTCAACCAACTTTGTCAGATTTGCGAGTTGTTCCTCAGGAGAGGAAGCAGCAGTCACCATCGTTTGCATGATCATCGGAGATGCAGGAGAGTAACATGGATTGTCGGGTTAGTTAATTTTCAGTGGACTCACATTACGCGATATACGTGGAGATTATTCACAAGTTGAATCACAGTTCTCCTTTATGGTAGAGTTCTTGGAACCAGATTGCTCAAGTAGAGCCAATGTCTTCTTGATCTTCTCAGCAACACTACTTCCTCCTTCTAGAGAATTTGTGGAGGAACTTGCTCCTTTTGGAGTCGAAGTCCCAAAAACAAGGGTTGATGCAGATGACACTTGAAGCGTTTGTTGCCCTAGTGTAGCAGCCTTGCTTCTCGTAACAACTCCAAAACTTCCAAAGGTAACTCCAAGGATGTCTTCAACTTCAGTAGAGAACTTGGAGCTAGTGACCTTAGAGGATGTTGATCGAGAGTTGTTATTCATGGAAGTCATCTTGATATTCTTTGACGTTTGAAAAGTTGAGATGAGAGGTAGAGATTGTCCCACTGGGCGTGCCAGAATTTGTAGACAATAAAAATCTCGTCGAGAAAATAATAATCAAGAACGGAAAATTATAGCAACAATCGATTTTATTATTTCAAATGTGAGTGTTACAATCTCTATAATTCCTCTGAATTCGCTTTTTCAAATATAAATTCAAGGGCTTTAAAGCTTGTTCTTGAATCTATGATGAACTTGAACTTGAACTTTATCTTGATCTTGACTTTTATTTGAACTCAAGGGCTTCGAGCTTGTTCTTGAATTCGGTGGTCTTGA